TGGCCTGCAGGATGCTACTTCGGGTTAGCAGAAGGGAAGGGTCCAGGCCTGGCCAGGAGTAACTAGGAATACCTTGAGGACTCTGAGGGGACTCCGGCCCCAGGCAGAGGGTGGCCCACTGAAATCGGCCCTGCCCCTGTCACCCTGAAGACCCCAGGCAGGGGTGGCGGCAGGTGGTGCAGCCCACTCACCTCTGCCTCGGGCTCTGCCAGGTGAGGCCTTGTTCTGTGGGGCGACGGCGGGTCAGCAGAGGGAGCCACATCTGGTCAGCAGAGGAAGGGGTCCCGGATCTGCCCGGACTCCAGACAAGGAGCCTTTGGGAGGAACAGAGGGCATGGAGGTTCCCCCCACCCCAGAAGAGAAGGGACCTCACAGAGGCCAGCTTCCCCTGTTCTCGGCCCCGAGACGCCCCGGGCAGCGGGGCTGGCTGTGGCCTGCTGGGATTCCTGACACATGGTTGGGGATGGGGGATCTCAGGGAGGTGAGGCCTTGGTCTGAGGGGAGATGGCAGGTCGGCCAAGGGTGGAGTCCCAGGACCTGTTTGGTGTCAAGGTGAGGACCCTTCCTGAGGACTGAAGGTACCCCCACCTCAGCAAAGAACGGACGGCACAGAGTCCGGCTGTCTCCTGTTCTCAGCCCTGGAAGCAACAGTCAGCGGTGGTCCCACATGGCACGCTCACTTCTAGCCTGGGCAGGAAGGTGGGGGGTCCTCAGGAGGAGAGGGCCTGGTCTAAGCGGGAGATGTCAGCTGTCCCAGGCGGTGGGCTGGAAGGAAGGGCAGGCCCCAGCAGGAGGAAAGATGAATGACCTACAGGAGGTCTGGGGGACCCCCCATCCCAGGACATCGGGGCTGGTCCCTGCTGCCACCTTTTGTGATGGCAGCAGGGATGCGGGTGGGTGGGCGTGCATGTGCAGCCTCCTCTGGTTTCTCTCAGAGGTTCAGGGAGGTGAGGACCTTCGTCTGTGAGGACAACGTCAGGTCATCTGAGGAAGCACATCTGGTCAGCTGACACAGACTCCAGGAGTCAAGGACCCCGAGGGAGGAGTGAGTGTACCCCCATTGCCAGGACAAAGAGGGGGCCCGTGGAAATCTGGCCTGGCCCTACTGTCAGCTCTGGCACCCCTGGCAGGGCCTGTCTGGCTGAGCCCCTCCTCATTTCCAGGTCGGTGGTCTCGGGAAGAGGGCAAGGGCCCTGGTCTGAGGGTCTGGACTCAGGTCAGTGGAGGCAGGATCCCAGGCCCTGGCCGGAGTCACGGTGAGGACTGAGGGGACCCCCCACACCCCAGGACGCATGCAGCCCAGGCCAGCCCTACCCTGCTGTCTGCCGTGGGGACACCCGGGATCGGTGGGTGGATTCAGTCCCCCTCACTTCCCCTTCCAGTGTCTTCGGAAAACCAGGCCTTGGCCAAAGGAGGGTGGCCTCAGGTCAACAGAGGGAGTTGACCCAGGCCCTGCAGGGTGTCAGGGTGATGACAGCGGATCACCCATCCCAGGACAGATGGAACCCACAGAGTTTGGTCTCCCTTCTTGTCCCTTGCTGTCTCCTGTTAGCCCCTGGGCAGGTGTGGCCAGATGTGGGCCCCCTCACTTCCTTCTGCTCAGTCTCAGGGGTCTGTGGTCTTGTTCTGAGAAGTTTGCCTCAGGCCAGCAGAGGGGTGGGGCCCAGGCCCAGCCAGGGGAAAGGTGAGGGCCCTGAGTGAGCTTGGAGGGGACTGCCCACCCCAGAACAGTGGGGACCTCACAGAGTCTGGCCCACCACTCCTGTCGGCCCTCGGATCCCAGGGCTCTGCTTGCCGTCTGCACCCTGAGGTGCCCCGTGTTTCCTCCTCCAGGAACCTGGAGGTGAAGGCCTTGGTCTGAGGCTCGTGTGCTCAGGTCACAGACCAGAGGAGCCCCAGGCAGTGCCAGGAGTCAAGGCAAGGGACACACCCCAAATGTGCATCCAGGGGCGCCCCCACACCAGAACCGAGGAGACCCTGCAAACCCCGAGACCACCCACCCCAGCCCACCAGCAGCCCCAGAACCTCGGGCTGTGCTTGATCCTCCCTGAGGAGCCTTCTCACTTCCTCCTTCAGGTTCGTGGGGACAGGCTGCACTGGAGGACAGAGCCCTGTGAAGCCGAGAGCACCCCTAAAAGGAGGCCCGTAAGTCACCTCTGTCAGAGCCACCAAGGGTGCGTTTCTCACCTAAGGCTGCTCACACTCCCTCTCCCCCCAGGCCCGTGGGTCCCCATTGGTCGCCTCCTGCCCACGCTCCTGTCAGCTGCCCTGACAGGAGTCGTCATGCCTTGTGCTCCAAAGCGATGGTGCTACATGCTTGAGGAAGGCCTTCAGTCCCAAAGCGAGACGCAGGGCCCAGTGGGTGCACTGCTTCCTGTGGCTGTGGAAGAGGATACTTCTTCGTCCTCCACCTGCTCCTCCTCTTTCCCCTCCTCTTTCCCCTCCTCCTCCTCTTCCTCTTGCTATCCTCTCTTGTTGAGCACACCAGAAGAGGTTGATGATGTCACTGGGGCCCCGAGTCCTCCCCAGAGCCCTCAGAGTGCCCACCCCTCCCCCACTGCCATGGCCTCCCCTCCACTGAGCCAGTCTGAAGACGACAGCTCCAGCAGCCGAGGAGAGGAGGGTCCGAGCACCTCGCAGGCCCAGCCAGACACTGCGTCCTTTCCCAGAAATGTGATTGATGGCAAGGTGGCTGAGCTGGTGGAGTTCCTGCTTGTCAAGTTTCACACAAAGGAGCCGACCACAAAGGCGGAGATGCTGAATACGGTCCTCAGAGATTACCAGGACCACTTCCCTGTGATCTTCAGTGAAGCCTCTGAGTGCATGCAGCTCGTCTTTGGCGTTGACGTGAAGGAAGTGGACCCCAGCGACCACGCCTATGTCCTGGTCACCACCCTGGGCCTCACCTACGATGGGATGCTGAGCGATGAGCAGAGCATGCCCAAGACCGGCCTCCTGGTGATGCTCCTGGGCGTCATCCTCCTGCAGGGCGACTGTGCCCCCGAGGAGGACGTCTGGGAAGCACTGAGTGTCATGGGGGTGCGTGCTGGAAGGGAGCACTTCATCTATGGGGAGCCCAGGGAGCTTATCACTAAAGTTTGGGTGCAAGAGCAGTACGTGGAGTACCGGCAGGTGCCCAACAGCGATCCTGCTCGCTACGAGTTCCTGTGGGGTCCCAGGGCCCACGCTGAAACCAGCAAGATGAGTCTCCTGGAGTTTTTGGCCAGTGCCATTGGGAG